GAGAGAGAGTGTGAATGTGAGTGTGTGTGTGTGTGTGTGTGTGTGTGCTGCATGAATCACCTTCTTGATGTTGCTCTCTGGGTTGAATCCACATTCAAACCCATGTGGGGAAACGGAAGTATGAAAGCCCTGCGATTTAACAGGATATTTTAGCTTCGCGATCATGCAGATGCACAGAGCATATAGCATTTTTTTTAGTGGCGTTCTGATCGCTTACCATGGCATTTTCTCCCCAGTCGGTCAGGCTGTAGTCCACTGTGATCTCCTCTCCTTTGGCAATGTCTCGAATGGCTATGACGACGAGCCGGACCTGACTCCCACAATGCACCTCTCTAATCCTGCAGTTGGGCGGGGGGTGGAAGAGTACAGGGCCGCGGACGCCGCTAGCGCCCTCTTCAGCCAGCTCTGGCACACTGCTGGCCACAAACACACGGTACATTCAAAGTCAGAATTGCGAAAAAAGTTGGAATTGCATGACAAACTAACAATTACAATAAAAAGTCAGAATTGCTATATGTACTCAGAATTACGAAAAAAGTCAGAATTGCGAGATTTTTAATTTGCAATTCTAAGGGGGAAAAATATCTGAATCGAGATAAGTTTGCAATGACTCTTCTTATATTTTTATTCTGTGGTGGAAATAAGCTTCCAGATTTCAGAATGATGTGCGCTGATGAATGGAGCGTTAACGAAGCAAGCCGTGCCCCTGGCGTGACTGTGTGCATGTACCAGAGCTGTGCCGGGTCGGTGAGGTAGTATGGGCTTCCCGGCGGAGGAAGAGCGTCTCCAGCTCCCTCTGCGTACTGCTCATCCCCTACACAAACACAGACACCAACCCTCAGCAGACCCACATATGAAACAATGGTCACAATTATATAGTTTTTTAAAACTGAACAGTTTACTGAACCTGTAGACAAAATATAAAAATAAATCTGTATTGTTTTGTTTTGTATCATATTTGATCCATCAGGCTTTCATGGCTCATAGAGTCTAATACAGTGAGAATATGGAGAAAAACAGCTCAGTTTTATTCAGAGGCTAAAAATATGAATTTGCTGCAGATGCGGATATTTATATGATGAGATTCTGCTGCGTGTGCTGTAAATCAGTGAGATCTTTCTAACAGTGCAGCAGATACTGACATACAATGATCTAAATATCAGTCATCTCTATATCTGCAGTAATATGTCTCAGTAAGATGAGATTGAAATGCTCCAAACATATAATGCAGTGATTGAGAGCTGAAGAAATAAAGGCTCCTCAGAAGATGTGAGATGTTCTGGAGGCTTGTGAAGATCATTCCTCCGCTGAGGAACAGTGAAAGTAAAGCTTCTGGAAACAAACGCTCCTCAAAAGATCCTGAGGATCAGATTTGAGACTCTAAAACATGATTGATGGAGAATCAAGTAAAGCTGAGCTGCTTCAGTGCAGTAAGAGTTCATCTGGAGATATTACTGCAGTTATTCTGACCTTTACTTGATCAAAACCAGTCCAGATCTGACACGAGAAGCGTTTCTACAATTACACTTTTACTGGATAAAACACTGTAAACTCTCAGGATGGATGCGGTAGATGAGTGTTTCAGTACCTGGGCTGTAACTGTGTTCAGACAGACTCTCCTCCTCGTCCTCCGTCACATACACCGCTCTTTCACACACCTTCACCGGCGTCCCCTTCCTCTTCCTGC